GGCGTGTTTGATGGAGGCGTCGACGCGGGGCCTTCAACCCGTACCTGCTGTCCCCCGTCACTCCCTGGGAACCGGGCGGCAGATGCTGCAGCGCCAAGCTGTCTCTGAAGCGGCTCTCCGTCCCCGTCTCCCCACCGCCACGGAGTCAAGCCGCGTTAGATCTCTTTATTTGTGCCTAAGGCAAGTTTGGGAGCGCAGCTGTGTCCACCCCGCTCCTACCTTTGGTGTTGGAGGCCTCCAGGCAGCGGGCGGGAGACCAAGACGGTCCTGCCGCTCTCAGCGCCCCGCCGGCCGTCCGCCGCCCGCCTGCACCGGCCCCGCGGCCCGAACCTCCCGCGCCCGGCGCCCAGCAGTCGGGACTCGGGGAGCGGGGAGCGGGGAGCGGGGGCCGGAGCGCCCAGGGGCAGCGGCAGCGGGAGCGGGAGCGGGAGCCGGGGACCGAGCCGGAGCCTCCTCGCGCCGCTCTGATACTTTATGCCTGAACTTCAAGTACTGGATCAAGGGCTTGGACTCAGCGGCGGACTCCTGGACTCCGCTGCGCTGCCGATGAGCCGCGACAGGAGAGCCTCTGGCTGGAAACTCGGCGTCACGGGCCGTGCAGACTAAACGCGCTAGACTCCCGGTCTAGTTCCACGCGCGCTGCCTTGTTTATTGAACTAGACTCTCAAGAGGCAGAATCTGCAGTAAACAATTCATAAATAAAGACTAGACTGTTTTCCAAGGTAGAAAACGTGCCGTTGACTAGGCGTCGGTTCTGTTACCTCGGAACCATCAGCCACAACCGGAAAACAATGGTTTTATTGTCTCCCGAGCGCGCAGTTTTGCCTTTCTTTGCAGGAAAGAGAATGCGACTCCTTTAAAATTCACAAATGAGAAAACGTTGTTGCTTATTTCCTGAAAATATCAAACATTTCCAACGACTAGAAAATTCTTCCAAAAGCCCTTCCTTCATGTCTACAACGTACAAATTGCTTTATACTACACGCGCCTTGTACGCCATCACACAAACACTTCCAAGAAGTATAATCCAAAGTAAACACGCACAAGGTTTTACGAGCACAGGAAAATAAAATTATTTGCAAAACCTTTTCACCAGTTTATACGTTGATAAGAAATTTTCTTTTAAAAAGATTGTCCTTGAACAGCCAGTAACATTTTCCCATTGCATTATTTGATTTTGCATATCTGCAAAGACAAACGTCTTTTTCCGGGGTAATCAATGAATCTAATCTAAGCGAATACAATACTATTTACCAATTTCCTAATATTTAATGGAAAAATAGGTTCGCGAAATAAAAGTGATAAAGAGTTTGGAAGGACAACGATTATCCTAGGTACTATCTACAGGTATACACGCTTAGACACCTATACACACACATATATGGAACCCTTCACGAGTAGTCTGAGTCATCTAACTTAGCTTAATTAATTGGTTTCAGGGGAGTAAGGTTGAAGACAGGATTTTACCCTTCCCAGTGCTATGGTATCCAATCACAGATGAATATGGGCATCTAAAACTATCCAAAAAAAATTCCAAGCCCAGTTTTCTCATTCAATGATTCCACTCTGGCTTACCTGGAGTATTGAACACAAAGAATAGCCAGGAAAGTGGCAGACACCACACTTGGATATCTCAGTCCCCTAAATTTAAAATTTTGTCTACTCCATGTAATCCTAGAAGACAAACCACGTCTACATACACTGAATTGGTGAAAAGCATACAGTTCAGTCCATTGAATTTTTGAGGGCTTAACTAGCCACGGTAAGTAGGAGGTAATGGGGAACCACGGTCTTCTTCTCATGCATTAATAAAGCATTATCTAAGCAAATCGTTCCATTTTAATATCATACACCACATGTACATCAAAGTTAACAGTGCAAAATACCCTGATTCTCTTTCTACCTTTGGGTCCTCATTTTCTCACCACATAAGTCACTTTCTCAAATGAAAGATACTGTAAAGTATCTTGCATCTCTTTTATCTTGTAAAGTCTTTTAAAGTCGATCAGATTCTGTGTTTTATGATTGGTGCAGATTTTTGCAGGACACAAATATCACAGAGTTACACGGTTGGCCTTGTCAACAATATTTACTGTGTTCATGAGGATAAGAATAGAGCCCTTGAAATGGTAAACTGAGATTGTACCATTGGGTGAATTTCTAGCTTTACCATACTAAATGTCAATTAGCTGGATTGTCAGCCTATGGGGAAAGCTTTCACGGAGTGCCACCCTGAAGCTTTCACAGTGGGTTTGAAATAAGTAACAAAAACTTGCAGGTGACAAAATGTTGGAAGCAATAAAGGTATATTCAAGAATAAGTATTATGAAAAAGACTAAATCATACTGTGTCAGATACACATACAATCATAATATGTATTTGATGGAGCATATATAGGTATACGGTAGAAAAACTGGAGACTTAATCATACAGAGTAAAGATCTACTATCTTTTATCTACATCTTTGAAATACAAATCTTTGAAAACTCTAACCTTTGTGCTGAGTTTATCACTGAAATTCATTTGCAAGCCAAACCTGACTTGAACTTGAGATTATTAATAGTCTATATCTACTTGCAATAACTAATATTTATCAGAAAAATGTCTAAATAATGTAACCCAAGGTGCTGTTTCACATAAATATATGATATATGGACTATATCAGATTCCTAAAATCTGAAAAATTCTGAATTTTCTAACTTAAGAGTTAGAATAAAATCCTTTGGGCCTATAACATACAAATATGTGTCCAAATTACCAGAACGAAGGAAATCATGGTCAAAATAATGAGTAAATTACTCTTGAATCACGGAAGAATAAATAATAATTTAACCTGCTAGGACATGTACAATATTCTAACACTATAGTTTTTTTTTTCTTCTTTCTTTCTTTCTTTCTTTTTTTTTTTTTTTTAAGTAGGCTCCACACTAGGTATCCCAGTATGAGGCTTGAAACTCACAACCCTAAGATCAACACCTGAGCTGAGATCAAGTCACATGCTTAACAGACTGAGTCATACTGGTACCCCCCCTAAGCAGTATAATTTTTTAAGAATATTAAATTTATTTAGAATCTAACAAAGTGCTTGGCATATGTTAGACACTAGTTAAAACAATATATCCAGTATGGGCAAGAGTGCTAGAACTACTATCTGCTTTTGCCAGCTAATACATCTTTAGTGCTAGCACAATCCTCAACACATTTAAAGGTGAAAATTATTGAACAAATGAACTAATGTCTAATCTGGGGGAAAGAAAATTAGGGTGATACACAAAAACACTTTGAAAATACAAACAGTGAAAGCCTAGCACAAAAAGAGTAAATAGAGTTGCTGTATGGCGTCCCAGAAGCAGAACTCCAGATTATGTGTGATTTAAACAGAGGCACAAATTTCAATAAACCTAAGAACTTTCCATTAACCACAGTGGTCTGGTAATGAAAGAGGCTGGTTATCTCTGCCTATGGTCCAAGCAAAGGCTAAAAGGTCTGTGGAGAATTCTCAAACTGGATATCCTAAATGGTTGAATTCAGATGTTTTCAAAGTGACCTTCACTTCATAGAATTAAAATTTTAAAGATTTACATGTTTTTGTATGTGAAGCACCATGCTAAAATATATAACACTAAGCATAACTTAGTTTGGCACTATAGAATAAATACTAATTTCAGCAATCATTTCATACTTAAAAAAAATAGTCTGTCAAACCTGAATGAACTGAAAATCCTCTGAGGTTGAGGTAAATAAAGTTCACTCACTTCAGAATTGGTGATCACGATGATGATCATGTTGACACACAATGAAACAATTCTATTATTACTACTAATAGTGATGTGTCTGAACTATAGTGATGAAAATGTTTTCAATTTTTTTACATTGATACTATAGAAAATAGTGCTAATATATTAAAGAAATTATAATGCTAGAGTAATTCTAGCCAAATTTCCATAAACAAACAAAAAAAACTCAAATAAGCTTCCTTGGTAGGGAAAATGTATACACATATATGTGTGTATGTATGTATTTTTACAATGTGAGTATGTTCTAGAAATCACAGATTTCTATATTGCTTTACAGTCCCTTATCCACAGGTGATACGTTCCACGACCCCCAGTATATTGCGTGAAACCACAGATAGTACCAAATCATAAGAATCCTGTGTTTTTCCCTATACATACATACCAAAGATAAAGTTTAATTTATAAATTAAATGCTGTGAGAGAGATTAGCAAAAATGCCTAATAATAAAATAGAAAAATTGTAGTGATATACTGTAATAAAAATTATGTAAATGTGGTTCTCCTCTCAAAATAACTTATCATACTATACCCGCACTTCTTGTGATGACATGAGATGATAAAACGTCTGTGTAATGAGAGAAAGTGAGATGAACAATGTAGGCATTGCAATGTGGTGTTACGCTACGACTGACCTTCTGACCATATGTGGGAAGGATATTACCTGCTTCTGCGCCATGGTTGACTATAGATATCTGAAACTGTGGATAAGGCAGGACTACCAAAAGACACTTTCATCTATTTAAGAAATTAGTTTGCATTAACTGGTGAAGGCATAGAAATATATATTTATACCTGAAGAAATGGAGGCTCTGCATGTTCCCTGGGGCTTGCTGGTAGTAAATGGTAGAGAAAGACTCCAACTACAGATCCTCAGTCTGTCCTTCCCACTTGATAAAACCTCAGAATGTAATGTTGTCCAAGTCAAAGGCTGAAGTAATGAGTGTACATATGAAAGTATGTGTACACAGATCATGATTTTTCCAGATTACTTGAGAAGGGACTTGTGTTAAACCATAGCTATAAGATGTATTCTAACAACAGGTAACAATTTATTAAGTGCCCTATGTAATAGGAACTTGCACAAGACAATAATTCCTTCCCCAAGTGTAATGAGGGCTTTAAATTCTTTTTGATTATTATTTCACTTCCTTCAACATACTGATCCACGCACTGCTCTTTCCCAACATATCCCCACATACAAACCTCATCTCCTTCCTGAGGCCGCATCAAGGAAACACGGTCATACTGCCGCCGCAACAGAGCCCAGAGTGCATCAAGACGACCCTAAATGGAAACATGCTTTGTAAATCTCTAGGGAACAGATTCCACCTCTATTTACTTAATAAAGAGTTAAAATGAAGACAGTAGTTTTGTTCTCTACTCTCATTTCTTTCCTAAATTAAACAAATAAATAAATAACAAAAGCAGAGGTTCTCGCTGAGAAATAGTCATTAGAATGGATAATGAATGCCTGCTGCTTGATGGACCTCGGTCCTCATGCACACAGCTGGGAGCTGGGGGTAAGCTAAAGAAGTCAGAGTTTCTCTTGTTACAGGTTCTCAGTTAAATCACACAAAATTGGGGTGCCCAGGTGACTCAGCGGTTGAGCGTCTGCCTTTGCCTCAGGTCCTGAAACTGGGGTCCTGGGGTCAAGTCCTGCATCAGGCTCCCCAGAGGGAGCCTGCTTCTCCCTTTGCCTATGTCTCTACCTCTCTCTATATACCTCTCATGAATAAATAAATAAATAAAATATTTAAAAATAAATAAATAATAAATAAATAAAGCACACAAAATTTACACAATTACCTTAATTGGTGTGTACCACTTTGTCTGAGGAGGCTGGTATGTGGGTTTGGGCTGAGGTGGTCTAGGCCTGACAGGTTCCTCAACTTCTTCAGGAATCTTTACCACAGCATTTTTGGCTTTCTCTAGTCTTGCACCTTCCTCAGTAGATCCTTTATCACCCCAACGAACCTTTAAAACAAAGGGAAAATACTTGTATCCGACATCCAGGGTCCTAGAAGAACAAATTGAGGAGATAGTCCTTTGGTTCACCATCTTGAAGTAAAGAGAGGAGTCATATACTAACTATAAATTCCTCCTCTCCTGAGATTTAGTTAGGTACATTCCCCTTCTAGCTAAGTATGTACCCCTATGTACTGATGGCAGTGGAGGGAACAGATGGTGATGGTGACAATTACTATGTGCCAACTGCACTTAATCCATACAAAAAAAAATGCAATGAGATAGATAATATAGGTATTCAGTTTTTTTCCTTCCAGATGAGGAAACCAAGGCATGGAAAGATGAAGTAATGTGTCCAAAGCCACACAGCTAGCAAGTGACAGGGCAGGGATTTGAACCTTAAATAAGTTAGTAAGTTTCAAATAGGATTACAAATGTATTTTTACATGTATTTTACCAATGTATTTTATACAAAGGAGTAAATTGTTCCTCCCCAATTTATTTCATTGTTTGCCTAAGTCAAAAAGTATGACTTAAACATTTAGCATTGGAAGTAAAAGAGTTATATATGATTCTTCCTTACTTTTGTAAAATTCGACTTTGTAAAGTAGCTTTCAGTCTTTAGTTCTGATGTATATCGGAGAATGGTTATTCGATTATCAATTTTCCATTGAGGAAGGCAAATCTGAAAAGGCTCCACTTTGAAAAGAAAACTTCAGGGACACCAGAGAATCCTACAAATTTTAGGGTATATCCTTCTCTGAAAACTCTGGACACTGAAGAATCATAGGGTCAAATTACTGTTTTCTTTATTCTTCAATGAACAGGAGTTAAGAGCTAAATGTGATCTCTTTATGGGCATGGGGATAGAATGTGACCACTGGAGAAAGACTTTGTCCAGCCAGGAATGTGGAGAAGTCCTACAAAAACCACAGACTACATGAACAAAGATGACAAAGATAAGGCAAGTGAAGCTCTGCAAAGAAATACGAAGGCCTGTGCAGGACACACTGACTCACCAGAATTAAGTGATTTCCACAAAGGAAAAAAAATTAAATACTCTGTAAAGCATTTTAATGACCTGAGATAGTGAGTAGGTGTATGATTACTTTACATGGAAAGAACTATTCATGGCTTTTTGATAAGGCTTTCTTAGATGTTTTTACCTTTTTTACTACAATTTTAGAATAGGCTTTCCACTTCAAGCGGACCCTGTTGAGTCATTAAAATGTATCTGTATCCTTCAGTGTAATCAGCGGTACTAGAATGTTCTTTATAGGGTTGTTAAACTTGTTTTAAACACCATTAAACCTTTAGAGCTAGTAGTTGGCTTTCTTTCCAGAGAAATGACCGTCTTGTTCCAATCACAGTGTCTTCATCTAGATAAATGAAAACTTCTGAAATCTTTAGATATAGCTAAACTGAGCTTAAAAACTCTAAAACCAGGATATATATCCTGGCAGTTGTGAAGTCTCGATTTTGAGGGAAAACAACAACAATAACAACAAAAAGTTCAGTAAACAAGCAAATGTCGTAACTCAGAAAAATAACTCAGAATAAAAATATAAGTAGATAAGTGTTCAGAAATGGTGGATTTAATATACACACCTCCCCAGCCTACCCTTCATAGTTGATATCATAGAGATAATTATAATCATATTCATCCTCCAAGAATCACTGGCACCATTCTCAGATAAAGAACACAAAGTAACCAAACTGGAGTTTTGACTCAGTGTATTTCTAGAGACTCACACCTTAAAGAACTGTACTCTGAAATAGAGTTGCTAAGGTCTAAAGGAAATTCATTAATTAAATCCTCAGAGTTAGTTTCATGAAGTAGCTGTTCCATCATCATTATCACCATCATCACAAACAACACAACAAATAATTCTCACCCAATCCCAAAGTATAAATTACGAAATAATTTATAGATTTTTCCTAAAACTCTCAGAAGCAATTACAGGCATACGTCAGAGATACTGCAGGTTTGGTTCCAAACCACCACAATAAAGCAAATAGCATAATAAATTACTCAAATGAATGTTTTGGTTTCCCAGTGCATATAAATGTTATGTTTACAGTATGCTGTAGTCTAATAAGTGTGCAACAGTGTCAGGTCTAAAAAAGACAATGTACATACCTTATTTAAAAAAACACTTTATGGCTAAAAAATTCTAAGTGTCATCTGAGCTTTTAGTAAATGGTAGTCACTGATCACAGATCATCATAACAAATACAGTAACAATGAGTAAGTTTGAAATATTACAAGAATTACCAAGACATGACACAAAGACACGAAGTAAGCAAATGCTGTTGGAAAAATGATGCTGATAGACTTTGCTGCTCAGTGCAGGATTGCCAGAAACCTTCAATTTGTAAAACAAAAACAAAACAAAAACAAAAACCACAGTATGTGAAGTGCAATAAAGCAGAGTGCAATAAAACAAGGTATGTCTATAAATATACATACATGTATACATATGTTTTAATATTTTAGTTTAACCACATTGCAATAGTCAAAAAGGATTAAAAAGAAAAAAGAAAAAAACAAGAATAGGGTCACCGGGGTGGCTCAGTGGCTCAGGTCATGATTTTACGGTCCTGGGATCGAGTCCCACATCGGGCTCACTGCTGGGGAAGTCCCACATTTCCCCCTCTGCCTTTGTCTCTGCCTCTCTCTGTCTCTCAGGAATAAATAAATAAAATATTTTAAGAAAAAAAAAAAACAAGAATAAACTGCTAAAGAGAGCTTTAGCAGAATTAATATACCTGTCTTTTTTACTATGGAAAAAAAATAAGTGCAAACTTGATAGCTAAACTCTTCCAAGTCTACTTGGCTTCCATAATAAACAATAAAATTCCATAATTTCCAGAGTATATTTAGATGACTCGGAGGTTGTATCATAAAGGAGCAATTTTAGAATTGAGAAAAGAAACAAAAACAGTTTCACACTGAATTGGCAGAAACACACATTTGAAGTCATTAGGTATTGCGGATCAGTTGTGCTAACAGCTGTTATTAACATCAGCTCAGTTCCAGCTTTCTCCAAATTGCCATTACCATAGTATTTAAATATTTAATTTAAAGAAGGAGTAAGAAAAAAAAATCTACGTAAAATCCCTATCCTCGCTTAAAATAACATCAGTTACGAAGATTTATTCCGTAATTCAGATGTGCACATAATTTCTATGATTCCACTTATTTTTCCCAGTTAAAGGCATTTTTTTAAGGGAAATACTTTCTAGGTTTAAATAAGTATGTTTTTAAAACAGATGATGTTTTCTATTTTCCCTAAGTTTAAATAAGATCAGACTTGAGAGAACTTAATGATACTTAATTCTCAATTCAATTTTACAATCTCGATTGTCTTTTTATGTATTGTTTCCCCTTCGTAATGTTCACATTTACTTTCTCATTTTTTTCTCATTCCCATTCCACCATGTTGACCAAATACCACATGCAATGTAGCTAAAATGGTCCAAAGATAAAATGTACCCTAGTTTATTAAAAGTGGGTGAGTCCTTTTCACAGATTTTCTTAAACTGAAAAGGACAGGCAATGTATTTCACATATTAAGAATTAGTAACTCTTGAAACTTGAAATGTGAGTTATTCAAGAAGGTGCACAAGTCCTTGGCTTTCTTGACCATAAACCAATGTTATTCCTCTAGGAACTCATGGGTATGCTTTTTTTTTTTCCTTTGGAAAGAGATCTCAATCTTTAATACGCTGGAATATTGGACTAACAAAAATCTGGCATAACTCCTAGTGTTTTCAGCAGAAATATTATTCTTTAAGGCTCACTTACTAGCATATCATTATCTCATTGTCATGTGGTATTTTACATGTGAAGATTTCAAAATGGAATTAAATTTATTATTTTGAAATCAAAGTAGTGCATGCTCATTGTCAAATGAGTTAGGAAAAAGTAGGGAAATACACAGCACAGATTGAAAATCACTCCACCCAGAGAAAGCTACTAACATTTTGTAGTATATCTTGTCAAGCCTTTTTCCCCTTGCATACAGTTTTTACACATATATTTTGGAATGAGGTGAAATAAATTAAAAAATAAGTTGGGATAAACTATGTTTACATATCCATAGGTAACTATTTTATTTACAAGTTTATTTTTCATATATGTAAGATTATCCATCTGCTCTTTCCTCACCCCTCCAAGGGAAACAGAAGGAAAATGGCCTTCAGAATGAAGTTGTCTCAAGCAACTAAAGCTAGACTAGCCATGTTCTATTGGACTATTTAATATTCTCAATCATCCACATGTGAACACATATGCACTATCTTCTCCAAAAGACAAGTGCAATAGCTCCTAGCACCTGCCTTTTCCGTGGCTTACTAGCAGTGAGGTGTCTCAGGGGTTATTTCAGCAATAAAGTGGCATGCTTTTAAGGAAAGCATGCATTATTTTAAGATCTAATGTGGTCAAGAAAGTGAGAATCACTATCAGATGACTTGAATAACCACTTTGGCAATGACAACCATGTTAAGTAGGTCTGAGCTTCTTCAGAAGAATACTGAAATTTATTCTGAAAAGGGGAAACTCTCCATGGGAATCTGAATTTTATTGAAATGTAGAAAAAAGAGAAAATTTTAACAGTTGTGAGGTGGTTAATTAGCTTACTGATTTTTGCTGACAGTAATAGGACAAAGCCCATATGATAGTAGGAGACATGTGCGATGACTGCAGAACACATAAAAAAGTCCTTCTTATCAAGAAGTAAAGTTTGGGCAGCCCGGGTGGCTCAGGGGTTTAGCGCCGCCTTCAGCCCAGGGCGTGATCCTGGAGACTCGGGATGGAGTCCCATGTTGGGTTCCCTGCATGGAGCCTGCTTCTCCCTCTGCCTGTGTCTCTACCTCTCTCTGTGTGTCTCATGAATAAATAAATAAAATCTTTAAAAAAAAAAAAAAAAAAGAAGTGGGGCAGCCTGGGTGGCTCAGCAGTTTAGCGCCTGATCCTTCGGACCCGGGATCGAGTACCACATCAGATATAATATTAAAGTTCAATTTTAATCCACGCCTTGAGCTAGTCTCAAAGTTCAATATATTCTATAAATGATATTTAAAATTAATTATGATTGTTCATAAGTGGTAACTAAAAGCTGTAAAAAAATTTTTTTAAATGCGCTTCTTCTACATTTGTGATAAGATCATACCCATACTACTGAATATTTTAACATTTTTTTATCCCTAAATAGTACATAACTATTGGATCTTTTCAAAGACAAGCATTGTTGGTACTTTAAGTGACTGGCTTCTACAAAGTCGATGCTGTCTGCAGTAATTTTTTCCAAAATAGTGAGAAAAACCCTAACTTTGTTTTGCCCTTTAGAGTTCAAATGTCTTATCAATGCAGTTCTTTGACTAATGAAGTCAGTTCTTCTTGGACAGTTTTGAAATGGCCAGGATGATTCCATAGGACAAAAAGTTATCCAAAGAAAGACCCAGTGCTAAATAAAATTGGATGAAAAAAAATTAAAAATAAATAAATAAATAAATAAATAAATAAAATTGGATTGCATTCTGAAAAATAAAATAAATAAATAAATAAAATTGGATTACATTCTGAAAAGATCATGCTGAAAAGCACAATCTCCATGGCTTAACTGTTCTAGAATTACACATTCCAGATTAGCAATTTCTGTTTTTTTAAAAGATACCAACCTCCATTCTTTTAATTCCTCCAACCCCTCGACCACCATAATAGGAAGCATCCACAGTTGGCCATTTCTTGGTAGGCAGAGGTTCTTCTTCCTCCTATGTAGACACAAGTTTTTAAAAATGGGTTTAATTAATTTCTTAAAATACTGTTTAGTCAGAATTAGCTCACATTTAGGGGTGCCCAGGTGGCTCAGTCAGTTAAGCATCTGCCTTGGGTTCACGTAGTGAACCCAGGATCCTGGGAGTTGACTTCAGCCCAAGCTCAGTGGGGAGTCTGCTTCTCCCTCTCCCTCTCCCTCTGTGTACTCTCTCTCTCAAATAAATAAATAAAATATTTTAAAAAAAGAACTAACACACATTTAAACATTTTTTTTCTGAATAATGCTATTGATATGGAAGAAATGTAGTAACAACTATATACTGGGCATTTGGATGTACTTATGCTTATGTGCATATATTTCAAGTGGAATTCTACAGAATATAAGGACTCCTGCCTTTCCAATTTAAGAATCTCTCTCGTTTCACCAGGTTACCAGAAATTGCTCCTCAACTATGAGCAGCATCATTTGTTTTTTTTTTTCCAATTCTATTCATTATTTCATATTTAAAAGATAAGACATTAAATTTAGGACAGCATTTCAAAAATCATTTCAAGTATCAACATACATGTTAAGTTAAACTGCAAAAGTGGTACTAAAACAGATTGGCAGTTAAGAGGTTTAGAGAATGCACTACTTCTATAGTTCATGTTGCTAACACAATTCTGGCTAACATATAGAGTAATATAAGAGTAATAATCATTTTGAAGAGAGGATTAATATCATTACACTTCCAGCTTAGATCTTCTAACTTTTTATAAATAAAATAAGTAACATCAGGACTATTGGTATCTGGATAGCAAAAGTTAAGTAAATCTCTATGCAGTATTGAGCCTCATGGCCAGTGTATATTTATCAGTTTTTGAAGGTCCTATTCATTCCTCCAGCACATGAAAGAAATCATAAGATTAAAAATAACAATTAATTTTCATAAATTCAAAAGTCTAATACATAGGTATCAGAGTTATCTAATAACACGGTAATTGATCAAATTTGGGGATAGTATCTAAATACAGGAAAAAATATCCACATCACTTCTTAGGCACTATTTACCTGTTTTGGTGCAGGAGGTGGTGGTGGAGGAGGATCCTTGATAACCTGTCCAACAACAACAAAAAAAATCAAATGTAAAAATTTTGGTGGCATAGGAAGGTGACAGCAAAGATGCATAAAAATAACCAGATTAGTAGCATACTGTGGTAGTGCCAAAGACGTCTCCAGTGAACTTTGTCTCTCAATGGGCATGCCTCTCCCTTTAAATGCAGGTTTGCTTGTATTTTGACTAACTAGTATTGAGATAGAAGTAGTACCTGGTGACTTCTTCAGCTAAGTCAGAAAAAGCTTTTCCACTCTCCTAATATCCTTGGGATACTCACTCTGGAGGAAGCCTGCTGTCATGTCAGGACATGACATGAGACCACCAGGCCAGGAGGAGGAAGAAACCCAGGATAACGTTATGGAAAGGCTGGGTGATAAGAGAGGTGCCTGGTCAGCCCCCAGCTATGTCAGTCATCCCAGCTGACGTGACAAACATAGCTTTCTTGGCCCTGGAGGCCTGTCGAACTTTCAAATGATTCCACTACAGCTGCCCCCTGACTGCAAACATGTGAGAGAACCCCCAGAGAATCTTCTAGCTGAGCCAGTCTCCACAGAACCGTGAAGACACTAAATTGTTTGAAGACACTAGGTTGCAGAGTGGTTTGGTAGACACTGCTAGATAACAATTCACAAAACTCCTTCATTCATTTTATCTTTATGCCATAGACATATTACTACCTTTATTTTTCAGGTGAATAACAAGACCAAAATTGTCAAATAACTTGCACAAAGTTTCACTAAATTGTTCTTCTAATGTCCAAATGCAAACATTTTCCACTAGATTACCACGACCCTTCAAAAGGAGCAGGAATTTACTACTGAAATCTGCCTTCTAAGACTCATTGACTTTTTCATAAATTTTTTAAAAGATTTTATTTATACATGATAGACACAGAGGGAGAGAGAGAGAGGCAGAGACATAGGCAGAGGGAGAAGCAGGCTCCATGCCAGGAGCCTGATGCGGGACTTGATCCCGGAACTCCAGGATCACTCCCTGGGCCAAAGGCAGGCGCTAAACCGCTGAGCCACCCAGGCGTCCCGTCTTTTTCATAAATTTACAAGGCACAAGTTAACTTGCTTTGCAAGAGATGACAGGGAAACTAACTTATTTTCTTTCCTCACCCCTTAATCTAGAAGTAAAACAACTTTTTAACCAAGATCCTTTTCTATGAATCATTACTCAAAATATTCTTTCATGAAATTGTCTATGTGGCTGATTCTTTATGTGAGAAGAATGAAGCCTGAGATCTAATCTTAAAGACCTCTATCAGCACTGGGGTAGCTAACCCTTCACATCATCAAAATTAAAATTATTGACCAGGAGTACCTGCATGGCTTAAACATCCAACTTGATTTTTGCTCAGGTCATGATCTTAGGGTTATAAAATCAAGCCCTGTGTGAGGCTCTGTGTTAGGTGTGGAGCTGCTTAAGATTCTCTCTCCCTGGGGCACCTGGGTGGCTCAGTGGTTGAGCATCTGCCTTTGACTCAGGGCGTGATCCAGGAGTCCCGCATTGGGCTCCTTGCATGGAGACTACTCTCCTCCCTCTGCCTGTATCTCTGCCTCTTTCTATGTCTCTCATGAATAAATAAATAAAATCTAAAAAAAAAAAAACAAAAAACAAAAAAAAAAAACTCTTTTCCCCCTGCCCTCCCCCAAATTAAAAAAAAGTAAAAGAAAACTATTGATCAAGTGCCAATGGCTTCTAATAATTCAAGTATACATCCAAGTCTCTAGTTTAAAGAAAAAATTTTTGGAAATTTAACTGCTTCACTTTAATGTCAAATGATTCAATTATGTTTTAAAATTTTCAAAAGTTTAATAAAACAATAATTTTGAAAATGAATATTATCAAATAATTGTTATTACTATTTAGGTATGTTACTATAATCATGGATGTGTTTTTATTTTTTATTTATTTTTTAATAGTACTTTTTTAATTTTTAAGATTTATATTATTAAATTTAAGTTCAAGTTAGTTAACATATAGTGTAGTATCGGTTTCAGGGGTAGACTTTAGTGATTCATCACTTACATGTAACACCCAGTGCTCATCCCAATAAGTGTCCTCCTTAATGCCCATCACCTATTTAGCCTGCCCCCCTACCACCCTCCCGTCCAGCAAGTCTGTTTGTTCCTTATGTTTAAAAATCTCTTATGGCTTTCCTCCCTATCAGATGTTTTTATCTTTCTTTCCCTTCCTCTATGTTCATCCATTTTGTTTCTTAAATTCCATATATGAATGAAATCATATGATACTTGTTTTTCATGCACTGATTTATTTTGCTTAGCATAATACACTCCAGTTCCATCCATACTTACAAATGGTAAGATTTAATTCTTTTTTTTTAATTTTTTTTATTTATTTATGATAGTCATACAGTGAGAGAGAGAGAGGCAGAGACACAGGCAGAGGGAGAAGCAGGCTCCATGCACCGGGAGCCCGACGTGGGACTTGATCCCGGGTCTCCAGGATCGCGCCCTGGGCCAAAGGCAGGCGCCAAACCGCTGCGCCACCCAGGGATCCCAGATTTAATTCTTTTTGATTGCAGTGTGTGTGTGTGTGTGTGTGTGTGTGTATCCATTCATCAGTTGATGGACATCTGGGATCTTTCTGTAATTTAGCTCGTTGATAGTGCTGCATAAACATTGGGAACCATGTGCATATTTGAGTCAGCATTTTTGTATCCCTTGGATAAATATCCAATAGTGCAATTGCTGGTTCAGAGCATAGTTCTATTTTTAACTTTTTGAGAAACCTCCACACTGTTTTCCAGAGTGGCTGCACTAGTTTGCATTCCCACCAACAATGCAAAAGGGTTCCCCTTTCTCCACATCTTCACCAACATCTATTGTTTCCTATGTTGTTAATTTTAGCCATTCTGACTGGTATAAGTTGGTATCTCATTGTGGCTTTCATTTGTATTTTCCTAATGACGAGTGATGTTGAAAATCTTTTCATGTGTCTATTAGCCATTTGGATGTCTTCTTTGGAAAAGTGTCTATTCGTGTCTTCTGCCCATTTCTTAACCAGATTATTTGGGGTATTGAGTTTGATAAGTTCTCTATAGATTTTGGACATTAGATATGTCATTTGCAAATATCTTCTCCCATTCTGAAGGTTGCCTTTTTGTTTTGTTGATTGTTTGCTTTGCTGTGCAGAAGCTTTTTATTTTGATGAAGTCCCAATAGTTCATTTTTGCTTTTGTTTCTCTTCCCTCTGGAGATGTATCTATTAAGAAGTGCCTCCGGCACAGGTCAAAGAGGTTGCTGCCTGTTTTCTCCTCTGGGATTTTGATGGTTACTTATCTTACATTTAGGTCTTTCATCCATTTTGAATTTATTTTTGTGTGTGATGTAAGAAAGTGGTCCAGTTTGATTCTTCTGCATGCTGCTGTCCAGTTTTCCCAACACCAGTTGTTGAAGAGATTGGTTTTTTTTTTTTTTTCCATTTGATATTCTTTCCTGCTTTGTTGAAGATTAGTTAGCCATGTTTCTGTGGGTCCACCTCTGGGTTCTTTGTTCTGTTCTACTGATCTATGTGTCTGTTTTTTGCCAGTACCATACTATCTTAAAGTGAAGAATTATAATACCTCCTGCTTTGCTTTGCTTTTCCAATATGGCTTTGGCTATTCAGGATCTTTCTGGTTCCATACAAATTTTAGAATTATTTGTTCTAGCTTTGTGAAATGAGCTGGTGTTATTTTTATAGGGATTGCAGAGAATGTGTAGATTGCTTTGTGTACTATAGACATTTTAACAATATTTGTACTTCCAATCCCAGAGTATGGAATGTTTTTCCAGTTCTTTGTGTCATCTTCAATTTCTTTCATAAGTGTTCTATAGTTTCCAACACAGATCTTTTACCTCTTTGACTAGGTTTATTCCTAGGTATCTTATGATTTTTGGTGCAACTGCAAATGGGATAATTCCTTGATTTCTCTTTCTGCTGCTTCATTATTGACATATAGAAATACAACAGATTTCTGTACATTGATTTTATATCCTGTAACTTTGCTGAATTCGTGTATCAGTTCTAGTAATTTTTTGATAGAGTCTTTCAGGTTTTCTACATGAGTATCATGTCATCTGCAAATAGTGAAAGTTTGACTTCTTCCTTGCCAATTTGGGTGCCTTTTTTTTTTTATTACTTTTATTGTCTGATTGCTGAGGCTAGAACTTCCAGCATTATGTTGAACAACAGTGGTGATAATGGATGTCCCTGACCTTAATGGAAAAGCTCTCAGTTTTTCCTCATTGAGGATGATATTAGCTGTGGGTCTTTTGTATATGGCCTGTATGATGTTGAGATATTTTCCTTCTATCTCTACTTTCCAGAGGGTTTGCTACATCTATTGAGAAGATCAAACGGTTTTTTTTCCCTTTCTTTTATTAATGTAGTGTATCACATTGTTGATTTGTGGATGTTGAACCACCCCTGTAGCCCAGGAATAAATCCCACTTGATCATGGTGAATAATCCTTTATACTGTTGGATTCGATTAGCTAATATCTTGAGAACTTTTGTATCCATGTACATCAGGGATATTGGTCTATAATTCTTTTTAGTCAGGTCTTTGTCTAGTTTTGGAATTAAGGTACTGCTGGCCTTATAGAATGAGTCTGGAAGTTTTCCTTCCATTTCTATTTTTTTGGAACAGCTTCAGAAGAATAAGTATTAATTCTTCTTTAAGTGTTTGGTAGAATTCTTCTGGGAAGTCATCAGGCCCTAGATCCTTGTTTGTTAGGAGATTTTTGATTACTGCTTCAATTTCTTTGCTGGTTATGTGTCTATTCAAATTTTCTATTTCTTTCTCTTTCAGTTGTGGTAGTTTAAATGTTCCTAGGAATTTATCCATTTCTTCCAGATTGCCCAATTTGTTGGCATATAATTGCTCATGATATTATCTTATAATTGTTTGTATTTCTAAGGTGTTGGCTTTGATCTCTGCTCTTTCATTTGTGCTTTTATTTATTTGGGTCCTTTCTCTTTTCTTTTTG